GAAAAAAAAAAAAAAAAATTTATGTAAAAATTTTTTTTTTTTAAATTCATGTGTAATTTTTTTTTTTTTTTTTACGTATTAGCCCCCCCTTACCTCGATCCTGGATCCGTCCCTGATAATATGCCATATTCTCAAGAAATAAAAATGTATTTTCAAGAGTCAATGCATGAATGAAAATGAATATATGGAAGGAATAAAATAGAATGATCAAAAAACACGAGGAAATCTTGGCTTCTAATTATGCATCTTCTGAGAGTCTAATATTATACCTTTTTTTTTTTCAATTAATAGATTTCATTGATTTTGTCAAAAAAAATAAAAAATTCCGTTCAAAAAATAAATTTTTAATTACTACTGACAAAATGATCTTAGATAACTATTTCACATATTTAAAGATTGCGTCAAATTTGATGTCGATAGTGGTTGGGAAGGATTTCAACGTTGATTTCGGGATATATAACCTAATTAAATTAATTTAATAAATAATAAAAGCAGAAAAGCAGAAAAGTGATTATTGTTGAAAGTCCTTGGCCATGTAGAAGAAAGAGACGAAATTACAAGGAAACCAAAAATAGAAAAGAAAAACCCAAATTGTTGAAAACAGAAAAATGCCAAATTTAGTGGGTCCCAATCAACAGACGCGGTTATGTGTTGCAGACGCGGGCAGAACGGGTTGGAACATCACAAACAAAATTCATTAATTTATTGGCTAGACAAACTCTTTAAGTTGCACCGCCAAATAGGCTTAGCCACGAGTCGGACACTGCCACTAATCCCACCTCCATTGGACCACATAGCTCCTCTATTTTTCCCACTTTCTTTATGTTAGGTCATGTTTCGCACACCAAAATGGTAAGTGAAATTTTTAATTTTTTAACAATTTCTTGAAAATGTTCCCAAAAATTTAAAATTTTAATCATAAAATTCTATGGATGTTTTGATAACGAATTTTGATGCAAGTCGAGCCTTAAGAGATATATTTGTCAAAAAATTCGACAGAAGCATAAATAAGCACGAAACACTCGAACGTTAGGACATTTTGTGACATATCAACAATATGCTAAGAAACTAAAAAAAATTACTTTTGAGCACAACCAAACATGGTCTAACATTAATTCCTAAATCCTATGGAAATGGAAAGGCCAATATAAGAATAATCAAAAAGGAACTGTCACAATCCATCCCAAGTATTGCATTTTAATATTTGGTACAAAATAAGTTCTATAAATACGCCTTATATCTTTCTCCTTGGATTCTTGAAGCTGCAACTTGAATCAAATTTGCAGCCTCTTCTCCCTCAAAGAAGCTTTTATTTCTTCTCACTATTTCTCTCTTACTAAATTCCATCATGAATCAAGCCTCGACCTCGGATACTATCAAATTCCTATACAGTTACGGAGGCAGAATTGTTCCCCGATTGACTAAAGGGCGTGACGGCATGCTATGCTACAGTGGTCATACTAGAATCTTATCAGTCAATCAGTCCATTTCATCTTCAGGTTAGTTTCTCTTTCTTCTTCTTCTTCTTCTTTTTTTTTAAAAAATTTGATTTTTGTTTTTGTTATTCAATTTTGTTAAATCGAGACAATTTTGGATTTTTATACAGAGTTGATGGTGAAATTTGGAGACTTGTGTGGGCATTTGGTCAATCTAAAGTGTAAATTACCAAACCATGATTTGGATGAGTTG